ATCGATATTCTAGTGAAGAAATGCATAGTTTCAAGAATCTATGGGGAAAATATATGCTTCTATGCGGATTTTTAGCGTTTTCGACGTGATTTTGTCGTCACTAAACCCGGAAGTGTGGACCGCGGCGTGGCGAAATTTTTAGCGTATTTTACCCTGCGTTTTACCAATCAAAAAAAAAAAAAAACAACTCCCGCGAACCCTGTAACATTTTAGATCGCAGCAATTAAGTATGTGATCAAATTATTTGTGGATGTGCTGGCATTTCATCGGGAAAAGCGGCCTTATGCGGCCGTGCCGTGTACACCAAGAATAGCTGATGCTAACAGCAGTACTTGTGTTTCGCTTGCCAAAAATGATATACTATACTACTGTACAATAATCAGGTCCGGTTCAGGTCCGGACCTGGACCTGATCCTCTGAACCTGATCCGGACCTGGACCTGAATTTTCTGAACCGGTACCCACCCCTACTCAAGCCCCCTTTGCACTGGGCTACAATTGGGGTGTAAATATCTAATACCAGCTTGGAAAAGAAGAAACAGTATTAGCCAGGCCTTCAAATACCATTGAGATATCAATCCAGGATTGAGGTGTTCAAAAGTTACATGTAGTTGGGTTTTTACAATCTTTGCAAAGAGAGATGCATTGAGGCTGCAAAAACTAGCCTACAAGGTTTTAGAGACTGGTGTGATGCAAACATGTCAATCACCTGTCATTGACCCTGTATTTAGTTCAGATACCAAAAGTCATCTCCTTGATAGCTACTGAGCTAATCTGTAACAGCAACCCTGTTTGCTGCATGCCCAGGGCAAGGTTTATGCTAATGCCTTGTAAGGTGAAGGACACAATGTCACAGTGAAGTTGTTTGTCACAAAAACATTCTGACATTAGAAAGTGTTGAGGCCAGACTTCAAGGTAAAGCTCTGGCAAAAAGATGGAGTTGTTGATAAGACTCTCTAAGAATCTCCCATCTTAGGCTGAGACTGAGAGGATTGTAACTCACTCTTCATACTAAGCTCCTTCTAGTTATATTTTATGTCCACTGCCGATACTTACATTCAGGCTCAGAGTAGATTTATTTTAAGTGTCTTACAAACTTAAATATATTGGCTTATGGAAGTAAATGATTCCTTGATGAAGGTTGAAAATCCAGGTAAAACATGTAATACAAAAATATTGCTAAATCAAGCAACTAGATAAAATTGTCTGATGTAGAGTCAGATGTTTCAGATAGCATCCCCAGTCTCTCACCAGTCACTTGAAAGATTGTAGATGCTGTCTGTAACATCTGACTCTTTAAAGGATTTATTTTCTATTGCGGAAGTGAATTATGTCTGTTTTATATAAGCTAACCCCTTTGTTGAAGACAGGAATGGAATGGTCCTGGTTATTCTGATCCTATTCAAGGTTTTGTCAGCTGTTTCTGAGAGGTGTGAGAACTGAATGGTTGTTATTCACTGGTTGTTATTGATGTGATAGCAAAAGCAGGCAGGGGGCCATTATTGGGATAATTGAAAGTATTGTCAGTTAAGATGGAAGATTCAGTGTTGATAGACCTAATCCAATTATCATCAATGTTCAAAGACATTATCCCATTAAAATTGAATAATAGCCCAATACTCATTATTACCCGCCCTTTCTCACTTCATAAAACTACAGATGTGTATTGACAGGGGTTTGATATCTTCAATAATCTTGTGGTTCTTCTTTTTCCTCCAGGTGTAGTAGGTTCCTACTGTTGCTAATTCACAGTTTTCCCCAAAGATGCCTCATACTCAAAAGATCTAATACTGGTTATCGAATGGTACAGTAAGGTCATCCAAGTTGTATGATTTTTGTGAGCTCTGTTGGCATGTAGGTACTTACCAGAAGTGTAATATTAAGTGGATTACAGTGTAGGTTAGAAATCAGTATGTAAAGTCAGGAATTCTGGTGGTAGAAAAGTCATGAGTCTGTTCTGGTTAGGAGATGAACACCATGGAAGATATTACTACAGGATGTCTAGCTGTAGCCTTCTTTAGCTGATAACCGGAGTGTTTGAGTGATGTCCAAAAAATTGAGATGACAGAAAAGAAATTCAGGCTGGCTAGATTGAGTGTATATAATGTAATGTTGAACAGGTAGTGCATTAGGTGATGTACATCCTCGATCAGGCCTTTCATTTTGATCCATTGCCAACATGAAACAGCCCACCCCAAAATCAATACATGGACATGACTCAGGCATCTCAAGCACTGCATGTCCCAAAACAACTAAATTGCCAGGGTAGCATTGGGATCATACTACTTCTGGGAAGGAGCGAGGATGTTCTTTGAAGAGAACAGTGCTGATGTAATTAAAACAAAATTTTGTTTTGCTTCTGTTAATATGGTCCCCTAATTTCAATAGAATATTTTAACTATGTCTGTTATCTACAGTAATCTGGAATAGAGAACCTGCATACATAACTCATAGTCATTCATCAGATTACGTTCAGCTGATATGTACTTGTATGTATGTTTTACAACTGAGAATGTTGTATGTATCCCGAGTACTTGGCACAGAGGGGCAGTGAGAATGGAGAATATGTGTGTTCAGATTTGTGGGTTAAGCCTTGTCAGGCCTCACACAACAAAGCAGCATTTACTGTGGAATGTAGGACTTTCTAAGAAACTGACAGGCTTCACAGTCAAGGCCATAAGTCATAGTTGTATTATTATAGTTATATATAGTTATATATATATATATACATCTATAAATGTATATCTATATACATGTTGTGTGACTGATTCCAAAAAAATGTCAACAAGCATTTAATGGATTGCACAATAATTTCTGACACCTAGGAGACTCCCTGAAGGAATTTGGCCAATAAAAATCATATTAGGAAGGCAGTTGGCCAGACAATTACTTTTTCCTGATTATATCAAGACCATCAGATCAGCAGCTCGAAAGTAAAAGTAAATTGTGATTTATGTATTTTAGGACTCTTGTACTTAAGAGTTAAAGGGGTGGTCGTCAACTTTTCAAAAGAATAAATTTCAATTAAGTTGAATTTAATGGGATTTAAGACCAAAACAACAAAAGACTGAATTTAAAACTATGTATTGAGTGATATGCTATTGTGAAATTCTCCTAATCCTTCCCATAAGTTTCTAAATAAGATAACCATGACCTGTACACATGATATCCAAGAGCATGTACACCACAAGTTCAATGCCAAGGAGAGGTATGTCAGGGTTGTCATGGACTGAAAAGTCACTAGTTATTCTAACAGATGCTGTTTTTTTGAGTCAGCAACTTTCTGCTGCGTGCATGTTGTGCAAGTATTTCTCAAGGATACTGTGTCCCCAAAGTGACATGAAAATAAGGACTCATATACAGAGGCTCATCCTATGTTCGTCCTATTGCCTTTGACCACATTTAGTCGTAGTTAGAGTATGAATTAGGGTGTGTGGGTTTTCTCACAGCTCGATCCATGGCATCTTAAAAAAAAGGGGGGGAAATGTTTATTCTTTTGGCCAGGATTTTAGTTCATCAGTCCATCTTATACTAGGATATATAATTCCATGCCCTGACTTCCTAATGTGCCCTGACAAAACGCAGCTGGCCCTTTATTTTTATGCTGGTTTCCAGATTATAATATTATATCTAGTTTTTACTTTCCTCTTGTTCCCCTTTGTTTATCATAATGACAACCAAATGACTAAATTATTTTGGCCTGAGGGCATTTGGTTTGTTTTGAAGCTCAGACTGTCAGGGGTCTGTCTTGTGGTGCTAATCGAGATGACAAGCGTGAAACCACAAATGGCCTGCAGCACTTGGTTCCCTGCTGTTTTTGCTGACTAATCTGGTCCTAGGAAGGGTTGTTCCATTCTAGCTGTTGATCAGGGGTGTGTAAGTAGTACTGTAATTTTGGATATTTTTAATGAAACATTTCTAGGCATTTTATAAGGCTTTCTGATTTGTCAGCTTTTCTTTGGTAATATTAGCCTAACCCAAAGAAAAGCTGACAAAATGGAAAGCCTGAGAAGACATCTAAAATGTCCAAAACAGGTTTATAAGCCAAACCTCTGCTTGGATTGTACATGTATGTAAGGAGGAAAGTGTTTTTCATCAGTATAAAGGTGTGAGATATTTCTAATTCAGCAGAGTTGGTAGATGTTATACTTACAGCAAGGATGGTGGACCGCCTTGGTTATAGATACATTTGTAGGAACCTTTGATAAGTCTGAAAAGGTTGATGTAGAGGAGATTGTCCAGTGCCATTCAAATATTACTTGTCATATTTACTGGCAGTGGCATGTACATCTCTGATTTGCTGAAGGGGTAGGTATAGCTGGATTGGTATTGCTTTGGGTCTGGCATCAAGGCTAACAGAAGTGGGGTGAGGTATTACTTCACTTGTTTTCGACCAGGGTCTCCCCTTTTGTCAACAGCAGCAGCTGCGACCCAGGGCATGTCTGGGCTGACTCAAGTTAATCATTACTGGCTAGGCCAATCCAAAAAAGTAGAAAAACATCAGTGCTTGTTGAGAAACATCATCGATTGTGACAAAAATGCTTGCAAAATATTAACTTAGTGGAACCAACTGAACCTGTTACTGTCGATTTGTGGAATTTTGTTTCCTGATTTCTGCAGCTATGTTTTTCCTCGCTTTCATGTGGCACTGGCAGGCCAGTCTGGACAGCTTGCCTTCTATAGCAGGACTTTTTGCTGCTTTAAATGCCATTCCCTAATGCTCTTGTGTTTGGAAAATACTATAAAGCAGCCTGTCTGCTATATAAAGCAGAAGTTGCTACAAGCTGGTGTAGGAAGGCATTTGTCACGCAGAGGTTAAGCTTGTCTTGGACATTTTTTTAGGTGTTTTAAAATGTTTGGCTTTTTTTTCAGTATACCCAAAGAAAAGCTGACAAAATAGTAAGCCCACAAAACGCCTAAAAAACTACCAAAACAAGCGGCCTAACATCTGCTTGGAGAGTATGTGAGGCAGGGTTGGTTGGTGTGAAACTGTGTCAGCTGGGACTTGTTTGCCAAGTCAATCCTGTGGCACCAGACTTGTTTTTGTGCCCAGTGGAGTCCCCCAGTCAGCAAATCTGTCAAACAAAAGGGTGTGGAGTCAGGAAAGGTTCAGGGAAGGGTCACTATGATATACTCACTGAAAAATGAGACTGTCTAAACCTACATGATACAATAAACGCTAGTTAAAATACAGTTGTTGTTTCCTTTCTTCCTATAAGTTTTAAGATATAATATATGATAAGATTGTTATTGAATAGGAGGCTTATCTTGTTGACTGTAATCAGTGATCCATAAATGTCCCAACTACAAAGAATACAATGGTTGTATACGTAGTTGGAAAATTGGAATTTACGTAATCAAATCTTACCTGATCTAATCTAATCTTGGTATTGTTATCTTTATTAGTTATATGATAATCATGAAGTTCTTTTAATTTTATATTGTTGTTGGAATGAGGGAGAACAGAAAAGATTTTATTGGATCACCTCATTACTACCATCTGTTATAATGATCCTCAGTATATTCTAAATAAGATGTAAATATTATCAGTTAAGTAAATGTTGCTTAAGTTCACACCTTTTTCTCAGACTTTTAAGGTGTAGCAAGTGGGCACAAAGCAGAGAACAGGGAAAAAACTGACTGACTGTATTGGTCAAAAGGTATCAGTTTGGTCCTGACTGGCCTTGTTTTTATTATGTTTTTGTAGTTATGCTTTTTATAAAAATCCGAGAACCAACAAATTGAATTGGTATGGCCTGCAGCGGAACACTGCTACACAGTGGCTTTTGCGCATGCCAACCCACTGCTCAACGACCGCCTAGCAACCAGCACGGCCTGTTGCTATTTATAGAGGAGGCAGCTTAACCATGATTCATTGCGACATTGATCCTGCAGCCTGCTCAATTCCCAGTAGGCGGGGAGGGGGGTTGTTTATCAGGGTTGAACTTCTCAGGCTGCCACTGAGGTGCTGTGTGCAGGTGGCTCAGGGCTGTGTATGCAATTACCTGTAAGATTTATGTACAGGTCTGTACCTGACCTGAAAATATACAAACTACAAAGTAAATCATAAAATTCTACTCACTAAACAACTAAATTTAGGATTTTATAGCCTATCATCACATTCAGGTGAAGTCGTTGGTTTCAGTATCTTTTTTAATACATTAAGTTAAAGCAATGTATTTTCCTTTTTTTTGCATTGTGAGAGATGTCACATCTGAAAATTTAGATCACATCATTTAGCAGAAAGCATTTACAAATACACTAGAAATTACATGACATAAGAGTATTTTATCAGAAATGGAAGTTCAGAAAGATACAGCCTTAATTGTTTTGTTTTTGTAGCAATGTTGACCTTAGGGGATACTACCCAGCTGTGAAAGGCAATTACTTTACAGGGTTCAAAAGTTCATCAGTTTCATCCAATTTCAACTCAGCTTCTGACAGAATAGAATAGAATATAACCGTATTGGTATTTCATTACTGATAAAATTTATATCACAGCCTTCTTGTCACTGCAGTAAGAGGTCTAGTAACGCTTGTCAAAACCATGGATTCATCTGTTGTACAGTCCTGAACTACATTTTAACTATGGCTCGAGTTACACTATGAAATGTGTTTTTCAGAGACTGTTCCATTATAGTTTTGACCATTGACCATTACCATTATGTATGGCCATACCACTTCATCTTTTGATTCTTTACTGTGTTTAGCAGGTTTTCGTATAGACCTGCAGGTATGTTTTGCTAGACTCTGTTCCATACCTGACCATTTGCCTTTTTGATGACCAATAAGCCTGACATGTTCTGTTGTGTGTTTTTCAGGGTTCTGGCTGATTTGGATCCTGATCATCGTGCTGTGCTGCTGCTGTATCTACCAGCGGTACAAGGTGCGCCGACGACAGGAGCGGCAGAGACGACAGCGAGAAATCAACCTGCTTATCGCCCAGCAGGCCTCCCTCCTTCATGCACCTCCTCTTAACCTCGGTGAGCCATCGTTTTGTCCTTTGCTGTTTTTGATAGGGTTGTGGTAGGATGTAGCACACACACTCTTTTTGGGATGATAAGGCCTCTGACGAGAGCTTGTGACCTTACACCTCTTACTCTTGAAAGAGTACCATTCCTATTTCCAAGGATTCTCTGTCACTATTTAAATCAGTCACTACAGCCTCCAACATCATGGTACCAGATAGTTCTTAGTCTGACAATAATAGGTACATGGCCACATTTTGAATTTAGTCAGATTTGTTTAAGGAAAAAGAGCACACTGATGCACCCTAGTGAGCAGATTTTGTATTGCAGTGGCTAGTCAGTCCTGTCTGGATCAGTTTTTCTATAACGCCCTCTATTGGTTATGTTCAATACTGCAGGTTCCAAGAGCAGATTATAAGTTGATGTCTACTTGTACACTTGTACAAAATAAATCAAGTAACTGGATAATTTCAAAGTCTAACACTTCAGAGAAGTTATCCAGGATTTTTTGTGTTTTGTAATGTCCTAGCTGTATATTTAACCTTCATACTCATACTTACATACCTGTTCCTCTGTTTCATCCCTGATGTAGATGCGATCCTGAAGCTGCCGTCGTACCAGGAGGCGATCACACAGCAGATCGACACCAGCCCCCCTCCCCGCTACACCCCCACCCTGCACAGAGCCGACCGACCACAGCTACCTGTCTCCCAAATCAGACCAGCTCAGGTCACTGTCACCATAGAGGGGGGCAACACGCAACACGTCACAACTAGTCTTCACACTGGGTAAGGAGGAGCAATTGTTTGTTCTCTTTTGATGAGATTCACATATCCTGTCACTCAGAGAAATTAAGACTTCTTGTAAGGGGAGGACCAGTCATTGAGTTGTGCAGCAGAGCCCACCATGCATACCCTCAGTGTTTTACTGATTTCTCAATTATATGCATTTTAAAATGAATAATAACTCCCAGGCAGTCAGCATCGCTTACTCTGTTCTCTTGTGTTGTTCCTGTAGAGGGCCTTTGCCACTATCACCTGTGTCAGGTTCCCCGGATGCCAGAACACCAGCGTCGATCTTCTCTGAGTGCAGAACCCCGTCTATCCTGGACAGTTCGCCCTCCTCGTGTATCGTGGACACTGTCGAGGAGAAGGCTGGCATCCCGGATGACACCCCTCTCCTCGGGGCCTGCGGCGACACGCCCGACGCTCCACCAGTCTGTGCAGACAATCAGGTAGAGACTTGTGCAATAACCGTGTCAGCAGGAAATAACAGTGGTACAACACCAGGAATTGTGGCAGCTACGTGTCCAATGTCTACAACCTCGACTCAAGACCGCGGGGATGTCGTTGACACGTCCCAGGAATCTATGCAGTCTACAACAGCGAGCGACGGAAATACCTCCGCTAAAACCGTGGCAGACAGTTGTAACAGACCAGCAGGAGGAAGATGATGATGATGTGATATAAATTTTTGGACTGTTCAAAGTCAGATAAATGATGATATTTTACCCTTCCTGTCCTACATTCCAAAAACTGTTTTGCCTGGATTCACTAAAGCATATCAGTTATCTATTTAAAGGTTTGCACTTGTGGAAAACATCGAATAGATCCCTGTAGACTGGACTAGGCTGTAATGATATTGCCCGGGGGTGGGGGGAACAGTAGACTCTACCAAAGCGTAGTGATTTGATGGGTGTTTTCTAGGAGTGGTATGCTATGGAGCAGGTCTCTTAAGTTAACTGAAAGAAAGAAAAACCTCCTTTTCTGTTTGCCTTTAATATTTTTTACAGGTGATATGGCAGCTCTTTTTAACCTCCCTACTGAAGTAGGTTAAATGCTAATTTGCATTGCATGCAGGGTTTGGCAACAGGGGAGGTTAACACAGTTCGGATTGAAATGCAGTGAAACCACTGGATTCGGAATTTAGGTTTCTGATACAGTTAGCTAATTTGATTATTAACTGTTTTATTCACATATGAAATAAGGCAGACCTTTACAGCCTATTCAGATGATATATCACAATCTATCTTCTGTTCTACATTGAACTTGTATCATAAAGTGCCACCGAAGTCAACATTTCAACTTGATACTCCTGTATACAGGCTCCGTGGATATTATTTTGTATAGTTTTGGTAACAAAAATCTGAACTGATCTAACAAAAGGAGTGGATAACAAATGTTGACTTGCTGGAAGTGAAAATCAAAGGTATGTTTTCTATGAATGACTAGAATATTTTGAATAGATGATCTTCGGAACTGGAGAAAATAAGTTGGAAGAATCGGCTTCCTAAGAGATGTATTATAGTAGACACTGATTTCTATGGAATCCTGTGATAGACTTCACTGTAGTATAATATATTGTAACTACATGTAAGTATAACAGGAAAGAACTTAACGCTTTCTTATGGAAGGATATGCAGGCCTTTTTTTTAGGCAAGTTACTCATTATTGGCTTCATGTGGTACATGGTCAAAATATTACCATACAATGCTTCTTCTAATAGGCTATTGACTTTCTAGAAGGTCTAAAGAGCAATATAGCAGAAGTTCAAGTTCAGTTGATGAACTTGCA